CCCCGGGGAGCATCGGGCCTCCAGTGGGGAACCAGGTGCTTAATAAGCCTGGTGGCCTCCGGGGTATTTTTGGGTGGGGTAATATTATGGGGAGCAGCTTCCAGGAGCTGCTGACCCCCTGCCCGGCGGAGCAGACCCACCCTGAGGGCTCCCGGAGACCGCAGCGACCAGGGAGCGGGTGGTCGGCAGAACTGGGGGTGCAAAGCCCAAGCGGGCAGAGGGCAGAGGGGGGCAAACCAGCCCCGCAGCCTGCCTGCTCCCTGCAGCATCCCCTCCTGCCCAGCTGGGACTGGGTCCCCCGGCCCACATGGGGACTGGGATGCTTTGTGCAGCCAAAGGAGAGCCATGCTTTTGTCCCCACTCAGGGAAGCTGGGCTGCGAGGGGATCTGGGCACCGGTGGGTGCAGCATGGCTGGCCCGCGAGCTCCCTGCCGCCGGCGGGGTCTGAGCCGTGTGCTGCAGCTGCCTCCACAAAGGAGATCATTTCTGCCTTTGGCTGCTACTTCCACGCCGTCACCTCGAGCGCAGATCCCAGCGCTGGGGAAGGAGCACCCCGCGGGCCCGGTGCCCCACTGCAAGCAGCACTTACCAGGGGCTGCCCCGGCCCCAGCTCCCATGGGCGGCTGGCTTCCCCTCCGGTTGCGCAGCAGCTGCGGGGGGGGGGCTGTGGGGGTCTATTATATCCTCATCCATAAGCCATGAAAGCCGGTGTCTGTTCTGACATTTATCTTGGCTGGAGAGGAGAGCGCAGATAACTCACTGCCGGGGCCGTGCTCATGAAGACAAATGGCCCCGGGCAGATTAGCCATTGTGCGCCGCGCGGCAACGGGAGGTGGGGGCTGATGAATGGACGTGCTCCCCCAGGAATGACGGGGGCTGGGGCAGGGCAGCCGTGGCCTGCCTGGCAGGAACAGAGGGGATGGGGCTGGCACGGTGCTGGCCTGGACACAGGGGAGGAGGGGAGTGGGGGGGCCCAGCTGGAGGGCCCCGGGCCCCCCTGGCTGTCCCAGGCCAGGCTTCATAGCCCATGGGCCCGGCACCCAGTCAGGCCTCCAGCTAAGCCAGCACGTGGCTGCTCTTGAGGCCGCCTCTACCTGCAGGCCCAGCTCTGCCTTCCAGCTGCAGCCAGCCGGGACGACCCCGGGGCCCAGCAGGCCTCCCTGCCTCCACCTCCTCCATCCACCAGCGGGCAGTGCAAGCTGCCGCTTCGGGATCCTACCGACAGGCGTGCAGGGGTCCCCACCACGGCCAACCGTTCCCCACCGCAGCTCCATCCCTGCTGGCTGGGTGGGAGCCCGGGGGTGGCAGGAGCATCATGGCTCTGCCTGTCCCCCCACTGCGGCCTGGTCCCCCGATCTGCTGAAGTGGAGGCCAGCAGCCGCACCGGCACTGTGCTCCGCACCCCAGCTGAGCAGCTTTCTGCCTTTATTAATCGCTTGATTGTTGATTGCTCCCGATAAACTCCTCCAGCGCCGTGGCTGCCTGGCCTGGGAGGCTGCTCCTTCCCTCCCCCCACGGCGCTTAATCACTTCTCAAATGCGCCCTCTCATTAGCGGTGTTCAGACGCTCCTGCTCTCTGCCGCGGCTGACAGCAATACGGCGGGAGCAAGGGCCATGCGGCAGGCAAGGAGGCAATTAGGGAGAAGGGCAGGCCCAGGGGTGGGCTGGGGATGCTGCCCAAGCAGGGTCATGAAGGTGCAGGGTGCTTGTTAAGGAAGTGTCCGGGGGGGGGTCAGCTGGGTGCAGCAG